TGGCTCAGAGTTCCTGCCACTCAATCACTAAAGCTCGTTGCGCAAGTCGACCAATCACACAGCACTCACACGGACTTCTGTGTATGGCAATCACGTAGTCAGAGAAACATCACATATCCATCGAAATGTGGGGTCCTAGAGAAGCGTAGGATTAGGGTGCGTCGCTGTGGCTACGTGGCTATGGGTCTGGGAGTGTATATGTAGATGTAGCTGTGCGTGGGTGTGGATAGATGTGAAACTGTGTCGATGTGTGTGTGAGTGTGGTGTGAGCGATAGAAGCAAAAAATTATTCACATCCAAAGCTACACCTACACGTACACCCATACTCACATCCACATCGACACCCACCCACACCGGCATACATCCACTTTCACACACACCAAAGCTCACAACTAATTTAGCTGGTAATTTTCCATCATCGAAAACATGTTTCAATTTAACTTTACAATTTCCAATTGAATCTCGACCAATAACATCAACATCGTAAATATCAAAATGAATTGTATCATCACCTTTTTGAAGATTAAATGTAAAACATTGATTCCATACAGTATTATTGGAATTCGAAATAGTTGTTATACGTTGTTTATATTTTTCATCTAAATAGATTTCCACATAGGCATCATTTTCACCCACAAGATCTCGATCTTTAAGATGCCGTCCTTCGACAACAATAACTTCAGGTGTACCAGTTGGCATTATGTTGATGTGTTTGGTTTTGATAATAGAAAATGAAATGTAATTGATGTTTCAATTTCGTTTTGTGTTTTTATATGCAACAAAAAAAAAGGAGTAAAGAGCAAAAAACACCTTCGAGCACCTTGTTCGTTATTTTCGGCCATCATTCGTTGTTATCTCTAGATGAAAGCATTATAGTTAACGGTATAATGACTCAATATTTTTTCTTTTTCTGTTTGCTTTGTGATGGTAAAGAAAAACGAGCTTCATAAGAAATCAAAAGAATCATTGCAATTATCCCAATAGAGAATAAAATTTTCTTTGATTACGTCGTCAACGGATTGAATGAAACACAAAATGAATAATTGTTATGAGTAGATGATTGAGTGATGTATTAAATTTTCATTAGGCGTCACATGCAATAATATTTTAGTCTAAATATTTTAGTTTTTGTTTTATTTAGTCAGTGGATACTTATGCTTAATATGATCAATTATTTCGACTGCATATACTGCTAATGATAGATAGATATTTTTTAATGATTGGACTAACATTAATTTATACGAGACGAGTACTCTTATAAAAGGACATAGGTGACATCTACACGCTCACACTTTCTGAAATAGTTATTGTCACACCGAAGTAGTCATTAAGGGTGGGTGTGAGAGTGTTGGTGTGAAACTTTTTCTGCTCTACAGCAATACCCATACCCACTACAAATGCCCACACCCACACCCATACACTCCACATCCACACCCATGCCTACACCCGAGATCGAAACACGTGTCATGGCGGTTCGTCATACTTCTTCAAGATAAACGAGCGGCAAGTATCCACACGCAGATCCATACAAATTCTGCGACGCGGATGTGGATTTTTATCTTCTGAACCCCGAACGGGAGCCCGAAGTGATACCTTTCGCGGAATCTTCGAAAAGATAACAGTTATTTGTTGATGTCTAGTGAGTAAGAGATAAAGTAAATAATGGAAGGAGAATGAAGGAAGATATGACTGGTGGATGCTTGTACTATATACAAAACATTCAAGTCATTCTCAGTTTTGTCTCAAACAACGACACATATTTGAATAAAATAAGTGTCTCTAACAGTACAGTGAGACTTCCGATTGTAAAGAAAAGTTTGTGAATTCCGTTCATTTGTATACCAGGAGTTCATGGAATATATGAGAACTGTTCCAGGTCATCCTAACTCATGTTTTATTCGAAGGCTGCTTTTGAGCTTCTACTATTGTATATGATTGCGCTGATTACTCATATATATTAAAAATCTGGGTAACGTGGCTAGATATCGATGCTTCAGACTGTTTGAAGAACAACGTATTTACCTGTGATAAAGAGGAAAAAGACCCTGAAAGTCTTGGATCTTTTCACAATTAAATTGTTGTCAGACTCTTGGTGCATCCAAAATTAATCTCCTTAAAAAAGTTGGGTGCATCAAATCGAAATCCTATTTAGCCAAATAGAAAGAATGAGTTTTGAACCGGTCAGATTTCGCTGTGCTGCCAACAAAGATTTGGACTTTCAACATCAA